CTGAACTATACATGTGAAGGTTGTTGATAAGGCAACTGTTTCATTACATATATATTTACCATTAAAAACAAAAAATCCGTTTCTCAGCTTCCCTGATGCAAATGTGGCCAAGGAGAAACAGACCCTTTCTGGTGGACCATTTTCGCCTGCCCTTGAGGCCTGGGATATAACCGTGCTGGGTGGGGCAGCAGCAGCCATCAGTCCCCTGAGGGGGTCTTGAGACTGGAAGTCTGTCTCTCGGATGCTGCGTTCAGGGGCAGGAGGCTGGGCTGCTGACGGCTGTGAAGTCACGGCGTAGGCTGGGCCGCCTGGCCCTGAGCCGGTCTCACAGGGGAGACACAGTCAGGTCTGCTGTGTTTACCAGCAGATACCGACAGAGCGCATGAAGGGCTTGAAGGGGCCTTTACCCACCGCCGGAGGTGGAGAGCTCAGGCCCAGCTGAAGGGCACAGTTGCTCTGGGCTGGTGCCAGCCGTATGAGGGAATGGTGGGTCCCCGCACCAGATCTTTTGCTTGTTCAAGAGACACTAGAAATTCCAGCGTTTATGTGAAAGTTCCCAGTTTTAAAACCTCGACTCCAATTTTTAAGAAAAGCACTGTGTGGCACAAACACCATGCTGGAGGATGGTATTTGGCTCACAGGCTCAGGTTAGCAACTCTGCCTCCGACAGTTCTTCCAGGACCCAGACGAAAGTAGGGCCCCCTCGCATTTTTGCTGTGGGGTCCACTCTGACTCAGGGCAGGGACCCGTGTGGCCCAGAACTTGCTCCACAGGGTTTTCAATGCCTGACTCTTCACAAGTCCAGCGTTGATGGCCAGGCCTTTCTTCCGCAGCATTTCTGGTGGCCTTGAACCTCCAACCTTTTGGTGACCAGCGTTTGTACCACTCAGGGCCCCCAGCGTGGTGTCAGCTGACCTCATCGGGAGGCATGGTTGAGTCAGCACCTTGCAGTTGAGAAGCTGGTGGACCTGCAACCACATCATGGAGGTGGTCCTCAAAGGCGTGCGGAGCCCTCTCTCTCCCCACCCTGGCTGCCTCTGCTTGATGTGGGTGCCTGGCTCCGGGAAAGAAAGGAAAGCCACCTGAAGTTTGACCCCCTGGAAGGAGACTGGAAACTAACCCAGAGCCTGTGGAAACAGGCAGGGCCACCCGAGGGCCCCAAGGGAGCTAGGACCCCTCGCAGCCGGTGCGAGATGCGGACAGACGCCCTGCGCAGGGCGCCTGGCAGACCCCCGCCTCCCCCGGCCTTTGTCACAGGGTCCTCGCGGCCTCCACGGGGACACCCGCGGGGGCCTCGCGGCCGCC